CGGCCTTAAAGTCTTCATGAGATGCTGGGCATCCGTCTTCATTCTCCTTCCCTCTTGCCCTCTGGGTTCCTGGTGGTGTCTGCGTCCACTGCTGAATCACAGAGGGAGCAGCGAAGGCGAGTTTGTGGGCCCAGGATGACAGCTTGCGGCATTGGGCAGTGGTTGTATCGGTGAGGTGGGCCTGAAGCGGGCTCAGGGCGGTGGTGGAGGCGAGTTTGGCCCGGTTTGGTACCCAGCAGCCTCAGTGGCGTCAGCATTGGCGAGGACTCAGTGCCGAGGGGGTGCTGGCAGAGGCCAGATGGCGGTGAAGGGTGGCAGCTTCAGTTCCAGAGGCTGTGGCAGCGTGGCAAAGGGGGCCCGAGCCTGGCCTGCATGGTGGAGCACTTAATAAGAAGAACTGAAAAGTTGGACACTCTTTCTTTATTTCTTTATTCTTCTGCCTTTATAGTCTATGTTTTGGTCTATTTTTCCATGTTTAAGATGGCGTGGGAGACTTTTAACTATTTTGCGACAAAATACACATGACAATAAATAAATAAAATCAAATAATTGACAGGGAGAGAGCTTGACCGTGGTTAATCTCATTGAGGGCATTAACAGAACCCATAGAAAAACATAAACACTGCAATCCTCCAGGAGTGGTGATGGTCTGGTGGTATCATCAGTAGATCCAGAGACCCAGACAAAGTTTTAGGGATCTGGGTTCAAATCCCACTCTGGTGTAATTGTGGTTCAATGATGACTATGAATCAATTGTCAGGAAAAATCCGTCTGATTCACTGACGTCCTTTGGTGAGGGAAATCTGTTATCTCTTACCCGGTCTATCCTACACATGACCCCCAGCAATGTGATTGACACTTAACTGCTTTCTGGGCAACTTGGGATGGACAAGAAATGCTGAGCCTAGCCAGTGATGCCCATATCGTGTGAATGAATAAAAAAGGGGTAAGTACAAAAATGGAGAGATGTCCATGTGACATATCAGGAGCGTATTAAGGATAAAGCTCCAACAGTGAGCCCTGGAATGAAATGGGCCAAAAGACAGAGAGAAATGCCAGAGAAACAGAGAGCTATTAAATAGAAATGAGACCACCATCCCCCAATTCATCCTGTACAAACTAACAACATAACCTTGAGAAATGAAACATGGTTTGGTTGCAGTTGATGTATAAGAAGTATAAGTGATTAGGCAGTAACTCAATAAGAGCTGTTTGAAGAGTTTAGTATCAAAATGTTTTCATTTTTAAAGATTTTGGACACCAGCATCTCCTTGGGTTTCCCTTGAACCCGGTCCAATCCAAGTCCCACTCCAAACAAACTCCCAGCCAGAATTAAATAAGTATTATTGAGATATAGAACCAATCAAAAGTGATAAATAAACAAGGCAAAGCTAGGTGAATTAATTTGCCCGTCATTAATTTAACGCTCAAAAGGGGCAGAATTTTCCCCCACTTGGGGCAAGAATTGTGAGAAAAGACAGCAGCAATGGGAAAAAAGCCTGCAGTATTGTGAAACATGTTTTGAGTTTTCTCCTTAAACTTGAAACAGTAATGCCAGAATCCGCTATTGAGTAACTGCCGGCCTTATTTCCATGCATTTGCATCTCATTACTAACCAAACCTGCCTTACTTAGGGAGCCACTTCCAATTCTCCGCTCCAGGCCTGGGAAACTAGACCATGCATATTCCAGACATGGAACACTGAGCAGGTCCCCCTTTGGCTATGACGTACCTATTGCTTACCCCAGCCGTTGTCCTGGTATCTGTTCACCGCACCTTCCTTGCATGCTGCATGGACACCATCCTTCTCCGACCTTGGTCCATGAGAGTCAACAGCGACCAACCACTGGGCTTCACAACATCATTGTGCCTGCTTTTTGAACAGCTCTCACACCATTTCAGCCCTTCAGCGCTCCATTTTAGAGCTCAGAGATGCCTACAGCTTACAAATTGCCAGGTCGCTGGGCATAAAGGGATAGATACACTTCCAAAAGCCGCACCTTATGTCTCTTAGCTGGCCTTTTCAGCACTTTGTGCATACTTAGAGGCTGGAAACCTGTGTGTCCTGCATCACCTTTTTATTGTAGCGGACAAGGGGAGTTACTGGTTTTGGAAGGAGGAGGAAGTGGGTGAGATCTTTTCAGTAGACATGGTGCATAAGGGTCATAGCCTTAGTGAGACGGCTGTGCAGTGGCAGCATTAGACTGAGTAGTTACCCCAGAAGTTGAGATGGCAAGAAAAGATGGTGGGACCCACCTTTGGAAGCTTGCTGGTTGCAATTGTACAGGTACCTTAGTGAGACCACACCTGGAGTATTGTGTGCTACCATGGTCTCCTTATGTGAGGAAGGATGTTCTGGCGATGGAGGGAGTGCAGTGAAAGTTTCCCAGACTGATGTATTAAGAGAGATTGAATTGGTTTGGACTAAATCCACTGAAGTTCTCGTAGAAATCAAAAGAATTCTTAACAGGACCAGACAGGGGAAACATAGCAAGGGTGTTCCCAATGACCAGGGGTCACAGTTTAAGGACAAGGGGTAGGCTATTTTGAACTTGAGATGAGGAGAAATTTCTTCACCCAGGGAGTGATGAGCCTGTGGAATTCACAGAAAGTGTTTGAGGTCAAAACATTGGATATTTTCAGGAAGGGGTTAGATATAGTTCTTAAGGTGAAAGTGATCAAAGGGACCACACATCATACCTGCCACAGCATCCAGCCTTCACTCTGTCCTTCCCTCCCCCCATCAGCTCTCTGGCTTTCTACAAAACCATCATCCAGGAGAGGTTCTAAAGCCAGCTCTCACTGTACTTCCTGGAGCTACCTTCACATATTAAACCCTTCCTTTATCAAGCAAGCTTTCAGTCACCATCCTTGAGGTTACTATTGAGCAGAAACTCAACTGGACTAGACATATAAACACAGCAGCTACAAGAGGAGATCAGGGAATAGGAATACTGCAGCGAGTAACACACCTCCTGACTCCCCAGAGCCTGTCCACCATCTACGAGGCACAAGTCAGGAGTGTGATGGAATACTCCCCACTTGCCTGGATGGGTGCAACCCCAACAACATTCAAGAAGCTTGACACCATCCAGGACAAAGCAGCCGCTTGATTGGCGCCATATCTGCAAGCATCCACTCCCTCCACCACCAACACTCAGCATCTACAATGTGTGCTGTCTACAAGATGCCCTGCAGGAAATTCACCAGAGATTCTTATACAGCAACTTCCAAATTCACTGTCATGGCCAATAGCAGCAGATACATGGGAGCTCGACCCCTTGCAAGTTCTCCTCCTCACTACTCACCATCCTGACTTGGAAATATATTCTTCAGTGTCGTTTGAGTCAAAATCCTAGAACTCTGACTGTCTAATGTCATTGTAGGTCAATCCACAGCACGTGGAGTGCAGCGATTCAAGAAGGCAGCTCACCACCACCTTCCGAAGGGGTAATTAGGGACGGGCAAAAGTTGCTGGGCCCAGCCAGAGATGCCCACATCCAGTGAGTGAATAAATAATAAATCACTGCTCCCATTCTCTTATTACACAGCGATGGAGGTTTTGTGGTTGTATCTTTACCCTGGTAACCCAGAGAACCCAGGTTAATTGGGTGAAGTAATAAGTATAGAAAGAGTTATAAGCAAGTGAAGTTTGTAAATTTTCTAAGGTACAGAAAATAATGTACCAGCAAAATCTTTGTCACAGGCCATCTTTAGATTGGACAAATATGATCCTCGTGGAAACATTTGCAAGTCAGGAATTTGTTAATTGTAACCCACTGATGTTTTCTTGTGTGTGTGTGTTGTACTTTGAGCTCCAAATGCATCATTATATCTCGCCACACATTTGTGAGTTCATGTATAATTCAGCAGTCTATCTGAAGTATTTGATTCACTGTAAGTGCCACGGTAAAGTTTCACCAGTGCTGATACAATGGAACAGCAAGACGCTTTGTTGAGATTATAATTCTTTGCAGACTTCTGATTGCACATCAAAATAATTGCATTTTTATTTGCTTTTAAATATTGCAAAAGGGCTGTGATTCAGTCTGTGTTGATATACACATAGAGTAATAGAGATGTACAGCACGGAAACAAACCCTTCTGTCCATCCCATCCATACTGACCAGATATCCTAAATTAATCTCACCCCATTTTCCAGCATTTGGCCCGTATCCCTCTAAACCGTTCCTGTTCATGTACCCATCCAGATGCCTTTTAACTAGTGTAATTGTACACGTAGATTTAGAGTAAGGGGCAGAATGTTTAGAGGGGATGCAAGGACCCCAGAGGGTGATGGGAATCTGGAAGTCACTGCCTGTAAGATTAGGAGAGGCAGAAACCCTCATCACATTGACAAAGTATTTAGATATGTACTTGTGATGCCAAGACATACAAGGCTATGGGCCATGTGCTGGGCTGGAATAGTTAGCTGCTATTTTTTGACTGGTACAGACTCAATGGGCCGAAGGACCTTTTTCTGAACTGCGACCTGAATAACTCAATGACATACAAAGCCTGTGATTCAGCCTGTGTTTGGGGTTTGTTTGGACTGAGATTGATGTCAGTCAGACCTTTATTTACAGGATTAAACCTCTCAGCAATTCCGCTAACAGAAACATCAATGAGACACAGGTTCTGTATTTTACTCGGAATTTTCAATCTGGTTCTTTTCCAGTTCGCCCCTCCCAAAAATAAATCAGTGCCCACTGCAGGACTGGATACAGTTATCCCTTTCACTGTGGTGTTGCAGTCCCATTGCAGGACTGAAGGACATCAGGTTTGCAAAGTGCTGTAGACCACACCAAGCAATATGACAAGCAGGACTCTGTTTGGAGGCTGCGTCAATGTGGGTGAACTTTGTTTGTTTGTGCACCTTCCCCTTGATAAGGGAGTTGCAGATTACACAGGCCGGGGAGTGTGCCTTGCCTTTTAGACCACTTTCAAACTCTTTTATTTGTTTAGGAAAGAGCCGGTAATCTTTTGATCTTTGCTTGCAGGGAGATTTGGGAGCCCCGGGACCTCCTGGCGTTCGTGGGTTGGTTGTAAGTATCAAACATTCTTTCCCTGATTCAATGCCACTCTTTATTTTGCATTCAGTTGGATTGCTCTGCGTTCAGTTCTGTCTCTCAGCTTTAAAAGTGGAAGCGTTAAAAATGCAGAAAATCCCGTCTCTATTCAGATGTTGCACTACAGGCTGTTTAGTTAGCCAACAGTGACAGCTGAACACCACAACCATCACATATATTGTTTAATAGATCAGATTTATTCATTAGTGTTTCACACTGAGTTATCCACACACTCTGGTTTTGCAAATTCTCAGATATTTTAACTCACTGATAGTACTTCAGTTTCAAAATATCATTGAATCATTCCAAGAAAGGTAGATTTTAACTCTTACATGAGTCGTATTCCTCTCTCCTGGAATATTGTCCTCCCTAGGGACATTCCAACCAGCACACAAGCTCTGCACCAACAGTTAGGAGTAATTTTACTCTTGTAAACCTATAGACTAAAGCATGCAGACAAAACACAATGACTTTTAAAATTCTGCACTTTTGAAATGTTCCTATTTTGCTCCCACTTTCTCTTCTTTCGCATTTTCTACCCAATCAATTGCCGAAGAGAAAAACAAAGACTTTTATGACGTCTCAAAACACTGTGCAGCCAGTTAGATGGTTTTGATGCGTCATCACCGCTGTAATGTAGGGAGTGTGGCCAACCCTTGAGGCTCCCACAGGCAGTGAGATAATGGTCAGGTGAGCTGTTAGTGTGGTGGTGATTAAGATGAATATTGTAGAGCAAACCCTCTGCTGTTTGAAATAGTGTCATGGAATCTACTGCAATTACCCAGGCAGTCAAGTGGGGGTCTGTGTCCACTGTCTGTCCTGTAAGATAGTATCTCTGTGTAGTGCAGTGAGGTGCCAGCCCTGAGTATAACCCGCAAGGTCTGGAGTAGCAGCTGGACACATGCTGTTATGACTCTGAGATGACAGTGCCAGCAAAACTGGTGAGTTTAACTTGAGGGACCCTACACCTCAGGGGACCTGGGTTCGAATCCTGCCATGGCAGACGGTGGAATTTGAATTCGATAAATATCTGGAATTAAGAATCTAATGATGACCATAAATTCATTGTCAATTGTCGGGAAAAACCCATCTTGTTTACTAATGTCCTTTAGGGAAGGAAACTGCCATCCTTACCTGGTCTGGCCTACATGTGACTCCAGACCCACAGCAATGTGGCTGGCTCTTAACTGCCCTCTGGGCAATTAGGGATGGGCAATAAATGCTGCCCTAGCCAGCGACACCCTCATCCTGTGAATGAATAAAGAAAAGCACATGGTATATGGACTTAATCAGAGAGTTAACTTCTGCGAAAGTTGACCGTGTAGTTCCTACCTTACTTCAATAAGGTACCAATAAATGATTCCAAAGATAAGTGATGCTATTCATGAAACCTGCAGATTTTTAACGTGAGAGGAGAAAGACTTAAAAAGAACATGAGGGGCAACATTTTACACAGAGTGGTGTTTGTGTGTGGAGTGAACTGCCAGAGGAAGTGGTGGATGCAGGTACAGTCACAATGTTTAAAAGACATTTAGATAAGTTCATGAATAAGAAACGTTTGGAGGGATATGCACCAGGAGCAGGCAGGTGGGACTAGTCAAGTTTGGGATTATGGTCGGCATGGACTGGTCGGACCAAAGGGTCGGTTTCCGTGCTGTATGACTCTGTGCTAATGGGATGAATTTCGAAATTACTAGGTTGAATCCCGAGGAACGTTTACCTGCGTCTTTGCCCCCAAGAAAAGAAACAAACTGAGGGCACAGCGCAAATTATCTCACACGGTTCCATATGGCATTTTAAAACGAAACCAAGATACTTGGTTCATCTCTCCCAAAGGCTTCTGAGTTGCCTTCTACCATTGCTGTGTGTCTCCTAGGGTGGTGTGTACACCCAATCAGACATTGGGTACAGGCAGTCTCTGGGTTTTGTTCTGGAGTCCTCACAGGTCAATGTGTACACAAGTCGGGACAGAATGCAGGACAGTATAAAATAGCTGGTCATTAGTATGAGGAAACTTCGAATGTCGGAACCCGTAAAATTAATTTTAATACACCCCGATCTGGTACTGTGTTTGTAAGTACAAGTGTCTGTAAGATGGACATTTATAAATTGGGATCCCTCTGTACAGCTTAAAGTGATGCACACACAAACTAGGGGAAGAATTTAGCAGGCTGCAGATTGCTGAATAAATCTCAGAGCTACAGGATCAAACAGGCAAGTTGGCGATATGACTGAGACTCCCTTCCAGGATTTATAGTGGGCCAAATAACCTCATTGTGCGCCATAACCATTCAATGGTTCCATCCCATGTTCCAACGTTGAATCTTCTACCATGTGGAGGCAGACAATTCAACCCATCAGACCCCACACCAACCCTCCAGAGAGCACCTCACCCAGACCCATGTCCCCATGGCTAACCCCCCTAGCCAGCACACTATGGGGCAAATTAGCATGGCCTGTCCAGCTAACCTGCACATCTTTAGACTGTGGGAGGAAACCCACACAGACACCGGGAAAATGTGCACACTCCACACAGACAGTCGCCCAAGGGTGAATTCGAACCTGGGTCCTTGCCGCTGTGAGGCAGCAGTGTTAACCCACTGTGGCACCCCACACATGTTCTGTGGTGACATTGCCAAATAATCTTCCAATTAAAGTCATGGTGAATTCTACTGTAGAATCATTTCTCTCTTTTTTCCTGTTATGGTTTCATGGGAAATGGGTACCACAAATAAGGGCAGTCATTGTGGCCCATTCCTAATTGCCCCTGTACTCAGTGGACTGTTTGGCTATTGCAGAGGGCTGATAGGAGCCAGCGACATTGCTATGGGTCTGGAGTCACATGTAGGCCAGGCCAGGCAAAAATGGCAGATTTTCTTCTATAAGGGACACTAGTGAACCAGATGGATTTTTACAACAATTGACGATAGTTTCACTGTCACGGTCACTAAAAATCATTGTATTCCAGATTTGGTGATCGAGTTTAAATTCCAGAAGTTTCCACTGTGGGATTCAACCTATATCCCCTTAGTACCAGCCTGGGCCTCTGGAAATACTGGTCCATTAGCATTACCACAACATCACCATCTCCCTGAGGAAGGGTCACTGCAACTGAAAGGTTAGCTCTGCCGTCTCTCCGCTGATGCTACCAGATCTGCTGAGTTTTCCTGGCAAATTCTGTTTTTGTTTCTGATTTCCGGCATCCACATTTCTTTGGTTTTTTTTTTAATTGCTATCTCCATACTAATTTTGCAGAAAGTTGAGAAAATGATAGTGAGTGAACTGCCATCCTTACCTGGCTTGGCCTACATGTGACTCCAGACCCACAGCAATGCGGTTGACTCTTAACTGCCCTCTGGGCAATTAGGGATGGGGCGATAAATGCTGCCCTAGCCAGCGACGCCCTCATCCTGTGAATGAATAAAGAAAAAAAAGTAGTTTCTCTCCTTAGTGTATGTGATTCTGAAACAGGTCTGTCAGAGGAGCTGAAGGCTAAGTGATTTGCACGAGTCATTGCTTCCTTCAGGAGACACC